GCTCCCAAAATAACTCCCTCAAACAATGTGGCCACAGTCAGGGGGTGGGTGGTGCTGCCTTGACTTTCCCCTCCCCAGGCAAAGCTTGTCCCGCGACAAACCCGGCGTGTTTGCTCGGCAGCCCCGTGGTTTGGGGTTCCCTGTATCCAGAGGAAGCAGCTGATGGGCAGGGGAAATGGGGTTCAGAATAAAAACCAGCCTGAAATGTTAGGGCCTGGCTTCTTTTCTCAGGAAATTCAGCCAAAAAAAAAAGCTGCGTCCTGGTTGTCCCCGAGGAGAAGGGGCAAAGGGTGGGGGCAAGGAGATGCTGCTGCAGCCCCTGCAGGGGGCAGGGGGTCTCCCTGCTACCCAGGGGGGTCAGTTCTGTGCTCTCACCCTGCTGCTGGGGCAGGAGAGGCTGGGAAACCCAAATATCTGGGTGGGTGACCTTGGCCTCCAAGTGATAGCGCCTGGGTGCCAGGGTGTTGTTTGCCCAACACAAGGAGGACATGGAGCTCCTGGAGGGAGTCCAGAGAAGGCACCAACATGATCCTTGGGCTGGAGCAGCTCTGCTCTGGAGCCAGGCTGGGAGAGTTGGGGTGTTCAGCCTGGAGAAGAGAAGGCTCCAGGGAGACCTTAGAGCACCTTCCAGTGCCTGAAGGGGCTCCAGGAAAGCTGGGGAGGGACTTGGGACAAGGGCAGGGAGGGAGAGGACAAGGGGGAAGGGATGAAAACTGGAAGAGGGAGATTGAGGTGAGACATGAGGAGGGAATTGTGGAGTGTGAGGGTGGTGAGAGCCTGGCCCAGGTTGCCCAGGGAAGCTGTGGCTGCCCCATCCCTGGCAGTGTTGAAGGGCAGGTTGGATGGGGCTTGGAGCAACCCGGGCTGGTGGGAGGTGTCCCTGCCCATGCAAGGATGATCTTTGAGGTCCTTTCTGACTCAACCCATTCCGTCATTCTGATTCTCCCCCTCCTGCCCAGGCTGAGCTCCTCACCCCCTCCCTGTCAGACATCACACTTCTTGTTTCAGCTCCAACCAAACCCCTCCTGCCTCGGACCCGTTTCTCCTCCTTGACGTCAAGAAGCCGCTGTCACTTCTGTCACGGGGGGGAAGTTTCCTGTCAAACCCCCAGCTCAGACAGAGACACAGCAGGGGAAGCTTTCACTTTCAGCTGCCAAACCCCACCACAGACCAAGGACCTGCAAAAAAAAAAACAAACAACCAACCCCAAAAACCCTCCTGCAACTTGAAGCATCGGCTCATTCGGGTTGGAAAAGAGCTCTGAGCTCATCAAATCCAACCATCAGCCCAGCTCAGGAGCTGAAGTGCCCAGCTCAGGATGTCCAGCACAGGTCCCAGGGGACAGAGGTGCCCATCCCTGTGTTCCCAGCTGGTCCCCCACCACCACTTCCTGTGCTTTCCAAAAGGAGCTGGTTGGTGCATGGGCTGCAAACTGGGGCTGGAGCCTGGGGGGGCTCCTATCCACCCACCAGCACCTAAATATTTTGCCTAAACAGGCTGCCCAGGGAAGCTGTGGCTGCCCCATCCCTGGCAGTGTTGAAGGGCAGGTTGGATGGGGCTTGGAGCAACCTGGGCTGGTGGGAGGTGTCCCTGCCCATGCAGGGGGGTTGGATCTGGATGATCTTGAAGGTCCCTTCCA